ATTCATTGGTAAATGTTAGGACTAGCTGGGGCCTAATCACTGATCCTAATAGTACCCCACTAATCACCAGCTTCCACTCTGAAATTGACCAATTTATTCCTGTTCTGTGTTTGCTATCTGCTAATTCTCAAACCATGTGCTTGCTTGCTGAACCATTAAAATTAGCATTCGTTCTATGAAGATTCTGGTAACAGAAGTGCAATTTTTTTTTTTATTCATACTAAGCCTATTTTCTGGTAAGAAAATGGTTCAATTTAAATGGTGTTTCTGAAGTTCAGATGAAGTTTAAAAGACTTGTTTACAACATAGAAACTCCTGAACAGACTTAACAAGGTGGATGTGAAACAGAGAAGCAGGAAAGTTGATGTTTCGGGTCAGGACCCTTCTTCAGAAATGGGGGAGGGGTAAAGGAGCTCAGAAATAAATAGAGAGAGGAGGGGTGTGGCTGGGGAAGGTAGGTGGGATGGTGATAGGTGAGTGCAAGTAGGGAGTGGTGGGGATTCGTCAGTGAGGTGGGAGGAGCAGGTAGGTCGGAGAGAAGATGGACAGGTTGTATCAAGTCAAGGAGGCGGGGATGAGAGGGAGGGTTGGTCATGGGATGAGACTGGGGGTGGGGAGATTTTGAAACTGGTAAAATCCACATTTGGGCCATTGGGCTGTAGGCCCCCAAGGTGAAATATGAGGTGCTGCTCCTCCAGTTTCCAGGTGGCGTCATTGTGACACTTGAGGAGGCCCAGGATGGATACGCCACCCAGGAAGTGGTTCACAACCAGAAGGTGGTGTTGTTTTTCGCGAACAGAGTGCAGGTGCTGTATAAAGCGCACTGTCCTTTACATAGTCAAGGCCAGGAGCCAACTCTCTGACACCTCCTCCTACTGCCCCCTCGATCATGACCCCACCCCTGATCACCAAACCATCGTCTCTCAAACCATTCACAACCTCTCACCTCAGGTGACCTCCCACCCACGGCCTCCAACCTCATCGTTCCCCAACGCCACACTGCCCGCTTCTATCTCCTTCCCAAAATCCACAAACCTGACTGCCCTGGTCGACCCACTGTCTCTGCCTGCTCCTGCCCCACTGAACTTATCTCTGCTTACCTTGATTCTGTTTTCTGCCCCCCGGTCCAGGAACTCCCCACCTAGGTCCGGGACACCACCCACGCCTTCCACCTCCTCCGACACTTCCAATTCTCTGGCCCCCAACATCTCATCTTCACTGTAGACATCCAATCCCTGTACACTTGTATCCTCAATGTAGATGGCTGAAATGCCCTCTGCTGCTTCCTCTCCTGCAGGCCCAACCAGTCCCCCTCCATCGACACTGTCATCCACTTGTCTGAATTTGTCGTTACCCTTAACAACTTCGCCTTTAACTCCTCCCACTTCCTACAGACTCAGGGGGTGGCCATGGGTACCTGCATGGGCCCAAGCTATGCCTGCCTCTTTGTAGGATACATGGAACAGTCCCTGTTCCACAGCTACACTGACGCTATACCCCACCTCTTCTTCCGCTGCATTGATGACCGTATCGGCGCTGCCTCGTGCTCCCACTAAGAGTTTCAACAGTTCATCAACTTTACAAACACTTTTCATCCCAACCTCAAGTTCCCCTGGACCATCTCTGATACCTACCTCTCATTCCTTGTCCGCTCTGTCTCCGTCTCCGGTGACCACCTCAAAACCGACATCTATTTCAAGCTCACCAACTCCCACAGCTACCTAGACTACACCTCCTCTAGCCCACCTTCCTGCAAGAATGCCATCCCCTATTCCTAAATCCTCCACCTCCGCTGCATCTGCTCCCAAGATGGGGTGTTTCACTCCACAACATCCCAGATGTCCTCTTATTTCAAGGACTGCAACTTACCCCTTCGGTGGTCAAAAATGCTCTTGACTGCATCTCTTGCATTTCCTGCATCTCTGCCCTCACATATCACCCCACTAACCTCCGTGTCCAACATATTGTTCTCCATCACTTCCGCCACCTGCAATCTGACCCCACTACCAATGACATTTTTCCCTCCCCACCGCTATCTGCCTTCCGTAGGGGCCACTGTCTCCACAACTCCCTCGTCCGCTCCACACTCCCCACTAACCCCACCACCTTTCCCTGCAACCACAGGAAGTGCTACACCTGCCCCTACACCTCCCCCCACCCCCCATCTCCATTCAAGGCACCAAACAAACCTTTCACATCAGACAGAGGTTCACCTGCATACCCATTAATGTGATCTATTGTATCCATTGCTCCCGATGTAGCCTCCTCTACATCGGTGAGACCAAGCAGAGGCTCGGAGACCACTTTGTAGAGCACCTGCACTCTGTTCGCGACACACAACACCACCTTCCAGTCGCGAACCATTTCAACTCCCCCTCCCACTCCCTGGATGACATGTCCATCCTGGGCTTCCTTCAGTGTCACAATGACGCCACCCGGAAACTGGAGGAGCAGCACCCCATATTCCACCTTGGGAGCTTACAGCCTGATGGCTTAAATGGATTTTACCAGTTTCAAAATCTCCCCACCCCCGGCCTTATCCCACGACCAACCCTCCCTCTCATCCCCACCTCCTTGACTTGACACAACCTGTCCATCATCTCTCCCACCTATCCGCCCATTCCACCTCACTGACCAATCCCCACCACTGCCTACCTGCACTTACCTATCACCATCCCACCTACCTTCCCCAGCCCCACCCCTCCTC